AAATAAATCCAGTGTATTGAGAGAAATTAAGAACAAGCCACACTATAATGTCACAAAGAATAATTACTTTTGTTATGAAAGAAAAAGCCTTAATAATTTAACAGCCTATAGGGAAAAAAAAACAATATTTTTGCATTTTACTCAAAAGAAGATACTCAATTGTATAGCTTCAACCTATATATGTAACTTTCACCTAGTATATGTATATAGCTTGAACTAACATAGCTTGATCTTGAATCCTGCTGAAAATTGCAAATAACGGAACTTCAACTGCATAGTTAAAGCCAACCATACTGAAGGAAGGATCCTTAGCCTCAGAGGAAGAGCACACTGAACCTGCAGATTCCTGCTGCAGCACAGCATGAGCTCCCTCATGCAGGGCTGCCCCTCCACTCCCCCTGTGCCTGGGCCCTCAAGGGCTCTGCCAATCTCTCCACGGGCTACTGTGCCATGCCCATCACCCATGTACTACTTGGGAGCAGGTGCTGACCTCAGAGTCCTGTGTGAGCCCTGGCCAACCCTTCCAGAGGTGGAGAGGAGGGTACCTGTGCAGGCTCCCCTCTGCTTGTATGTTCAGGTTTCTCTCCTAAAAAGGTGCACAAGCTCTAGTGAAGAGAAAAACAGATATGAGAAAACTCCCATGCTATATATACTGCTACACTTTCTTTCCATTCAGTAACTCCTTCCATTAAACCTTTTACCATATATGCACTACTTCTTAGAGCTTGTATTTTTAACCACTTCTCACATCATTTGCTGGTGTCACTTGCCCTGCTAGACTGCTCCTTTGGCATCACAGCCCTCCTTCTGGAAGGGACTTTGCTCAGCAGTAGAGAGGTAGCCTCTCCAAAGTTTTGGGAAAGGGAAGTGAGGAAAAGCAATCAATAGGAGCCCAAAGTAATCCCTTGTGTCCTTTTTCAGCTGCCTTCTGCTATGATAACAATCCAGGCTGTTGACATTGCTGTTTATATGAGCATGGAAGTGATGAAGGCATTATCACTGTTGGGCTGTGGGTCTTTCCTCAGCAGTCAGGCAGGAGGAGCAGGATGATTACAAATGGAAAAAATAAAAAAAAACAAACCTGCAAATCAGCCATGGCAAATGTAAAGGCAGGACAAAAAGGTAAACAAAATGTAATTATGGAAGTGATACCATCCCCAAATTTCAGGAATCTCCCTTTAACTTTCAGTTTGTTGAACAGTATATATTTCTGAAGCTTTGATCCTGACCATTAATTCAGACCTAAAAAGAAAGACTGCTAAAGCCCTAAGAAATATCTGGAGAAATTTAAATATAGGTTTTTGGGGGGGTTTTGTTTTGTTTTGTTTGGTTTTGTTTTTTTTTTTTTTTTTTGTCTCAAAACACTTGAAGAATTTATTTTATTGTAGCACTGAAGCTTTTGGAAACAAAGATCCTGTTATAAAATGAATATGTAACCATAATAAGTCACATCCTAGGGTCTCAATTTGGTTTTAGAACAGGCCAAACTCTGACTTCAAAATTAGCTTGTCTGAGAACAGTGACCTCTTAAAAACTGCAGGATTCATACCATTTGTGCTGTGTGATCGTAACAAACTAGTTGTGAATGTGGAGAGAATTCAGAAAAGCTTCGTTTTTTCCTAATGTGAAAGCATGCTTTTTATCCTCAACCTTGCACCATTCCCAGTCTCCTTCTAAAAAGACCTATGAAAGGAAAAGTGTTTTGTAATTGCTATAAAACCTTTTATTAGCTATGCAGGTTTCAGGATTTTGTTTCATTCAGAAATATTAGGCTCAGATAAGCTTCCTGCATCTTTTTTCTTTAGACTCTTAATCCACCATTTGTTTCTGAAAACGTAGCTAACCACATCCAGGGAGGCTGTTATTGTAGCTAACAACCTACAAGGAGACTGTTATCCCCTGTATAAGGACATGTCTTAGGCTACATTGTTGAAGTTCACTTCCCTTAAGTAAAGAAAAAACAAATACTCACGTATTTTCACCATACTGTTCAAATATTTTTAGTAATGAGGAAGAATTCTACTTTCACACATAGAGGAGCATTTGAAAAGCTATTTAAGAAGGTTCTTGAGGTCCTGTTTCTTTCATGCAATATTTGTCAAAAACACCGTTTGCATCACTATGCTTCTGGCCAGTGCAAAAGGTAATGTGAATATTTGCTATTGCAGATACGTCACTTCGTAACTATTTTCAACTCCCACTAGGATGGAAATAGCAGAATGTGAAATACCATGCACTAGCACTTATCAGCGCTAGGTTATTCTGTAATTCAGGGCTGCCTGGCTTTTCAGATTAGATGGATCATATAGCTTCTTCCTTCTTCTTGTGGAGCCAGGTCTGCACACCCTACCTGCTTTCTCCAGAGCAGATGAAAAGGCCATGTTTTTTGTCCATGTCCAGCACAGATGAGCTTCTCATGCACCCAGCACAATTGATCTACTCATGCGCAGGACCCCTGTTAGTGCCAGAACTGCTGTCCATGCCCAGCTTGGTTTGTCAGGAATGCAAACTAAGTATGGCAATTCCCAGCAATTCATGTTTATACCACACAGACGTTTGTGAGCTCTGGGGAAAGAAAAGCAGCTGGGAAGAGGCTGCTGGTGTCAGAAGACCGTCTGCAGCTTGATCTAAACCACTATTTTTTTTTTCCACCAAGGTTTCTTTGGGTAGAGGCAGCAAGCAGAATGGGTTGGATGGGGAGTCTTGGTTGGCAGAAACCCACTCTTGGCTCATCACCTGCCTTCAGGGTCCCTTTAAGTCCAGGTCCCCCTCAGAATAGATTTATCAGGACTGGAAAGGGATAACCTTAAGTTAGAAGCTTGCTTTATAAGAGTGAGTCAGGGAGAATAAAGCCAGAGGCTGGCTGGTTCTCACAGCCCTTAGAAGTAGCCATTCTCATAGAGAACACTCCATAACATAATACCCTGTGTACAAGGCAACCACACTTTTGGACTTCCTTTGGACTGGAGGGATGTCACTGTACAACTCCTCATGCTCTGAAACTGAGTCAGGAATGAGATTGGTGGTTATCACGTGACTTCTGCTCAAACACAGCTGGTAGCTTTGGCATAGTTTGATTACCAGAATGGAAAAAATAACCAGCATTAGACATTCAGGTATTATTGAATGACTCAATTAAAAAATAATAGAAAAGAGTAATTTCATCATGCCTCACAGTACTGATCAGCTCGCTCTCTCTTTTTTCTAAGCTACTTCCTTTTCAAAGCAAAATCCCTCTGGTTCATGTAGCTCCCTGAGAAATTAAAGTAACTCACTCTGAAGACTGGCATCAGCCGTCTGTGAGAAGCAGCTAACACAAACCATGTGTTTCCATATCTCAGTGACAGTTAAAGTCTACAATTTCACACTCTCACTTGGAGGGAAAACAAAAACAAAACACTATGCCTTTTGGACACTGTAATTAAGAAATGTCTCTCCCTTTGACCTGGGAATGCCACGAGGGAAAGCTGAATGTGTCACTGCTAGTACTTCACAGAGAAGAAAAGCAACAGGTAGCTCAAGGGGCAGCACGGCCTGCCTACAAACTTCAGACATCAGCAACTCTTGAATTTGCAAGTGAACACAAGGTAGATGTGTCCTGTGATTTTGCTCTGGTCCTGTCTCATCTGAGAATGAGAGAATAGGGAAATGTTCAGGGAGCCTGAGTGGTTAATTCAGTTGCAGGGGACACAAGGAGAAAAGCCGTGCTACAAGGAGGGCAATTTTTCCTGTATGTGTCCTGCTACTTCTGTTTTAATCACCACTTTCTGGTTTTAGGCTGCAAAGTTCTGGTTCACTCACAAGAAGAATTACTGTACAGAAAATTTGGTAAACAAATATGGGTAGCTCAAGAATAATATTGATGACAAATTGATAATTATGAATACTGTTTCTTTCTCACTAAGGCCAGATGTCTGTACATTGCAAGTTTGTGACCTAAGTCCATCCTAGCCTTCATGCTGAGAAGGAACAAAAGACGTCATCAGGGCTTTTTTCTTTGTCAAGAAAATAGAAAAGTACCTCTCTTGAAAAAATAATATCACCACCACCCCCCAGCTAATTCATTCTCTCTTTAACTTCTTCATGCTCTAGTGATCAAATCATTAAACAGCCCTCATTATTCATTCCAACTTCTGCCAGGGATATGAGCTCTGTATCTGAGAAACACCTCCTCACCATCACAATCATCATAATGACATCTCAGCAAGTTGATACAATTATGCCAGAGAACCATCCCCATTATTATACAGTTCTCTAGCTCATTTCTCAGTGTATTCACCGTTACTATAATCACAGCAAGTACAGTGTGTTAAATTAGGAACAGGATCTACAGCTAACATCTAACAAGATAAAAAGTCTGCCTGCTGCAATTCTGCAATTCTTTACAATATAACTCTTCAAACTTCTTAAAGTGGAGGTTCATATTTTATCATGTTTGTTTTTGAAACAATGGATATTTACAACTCATTTTAAGATGCAAATGAAAGACACATTTTTTATGGAAAAGTGTAAACCTCTTCCCCACATAGTTTTCAAAGTATTGCTAAAGAACTGGTAGCACTGAACCTTATTTCCTAACCAGACATTAGGTGTAGATTTTTATGCATATGGTACATATGGACTGCCATCATAAAGAATTTTTGCTTTTCAACTCCCAGTGATCACAAATACAGCTTAAGCAAACCTTGGCAGCCACTGATGCTTATTTGCCATGAGATCCTTTACAATAATGACTATATTGTCACTATGAAAAATGCTCAGGTTAAAATGTGCTGTAAATTAGGCAAATGTATAGCTTTCTAAAATGAGAATTTTCACAAAATACAAACTGAGAAGGGGTTGAAGGAAGGTTAGAACAGAAGATCCATAAAAATTTAAAGAACCAAACAGAAAACGTAGGGCACTTCATGACTGTGGAAAAAGTAACAGAACTCTCTTTAACAAAATGCAAGCAGACATACTAACAAGTTCTTCCTGTCTATTTCCATTTACCAAATCAGGCACAGCCAAGAAAATGTTGCACTTTGAGATTTCCAAGGAAGGCAGTGAATTATCGGTGGTGGAGCATGCTGAAGTGTGGCTCTTCCTGAAGGTCTCCAAGGCCAACCGGAGCAGGACAAAAGTCACCATCCGCCTGTTTCAACAGCAGCGGCAGCCAAGAGGCAATTCTGAAGGAGCAGAAGATACAGAGGATGGGGGGCTGAAAGGTGAAAAGAGTGAGACTTTGATTTCAGAAAAGGCAGTGGACACCCGTAAGAGTACTTGGCACATCTTTCCTGTCTCCAGCAGTGTCCAGAGACTCTTGGACCAAGGGAAGAGTTCTTTGGATGTGCGGATTGCCTGTGACCTGTGTCAAGAGACTGGAGCCAACCTGGTGCTACTGGGCAAGAAGAAGAAAAAGGAAGATGATGGGGAAGGGAAAGAAAAGGAAGCTGGAGAAATCACAGGAGAAGAGGAGAAGGAGCAATCACATCGGCCCTTCTTAATGATGCTAGCCCGGCACTCAGAGGATCGCCAGCACAGGCGACGAAGACGAGGCCTGGAGTGTGATGGCAAAGTCAACATCTGCTGCAAGAAGCAGTTCTTTGTCAGTTTCAAGGACATAGGATGGAGTGACTGGATCATTGCTCCTACAGGTTATCATGCCAACTACTGCGAAGGAGAGTGTCCCAGCCATATAGCAGGCACATCTGGTTCATCGTTATCTTTCCACTCCACTGTCATTAACCACTACCGCATGCGGGGCCATAGCCCCTTTGCCAACCTCAAATCATGTTGTGTGCCCACCAAGCTCCGGCCCATGTCCATGCTCTACTACGATGATGGCCAGAACATCATTAAGAAAGACATACAGAATATGATTGTGGAGGAGTGTGGCTGTTCGTAGATGCTAGTGTGCACAAGACCCTTCTTGTTAAGTAGAAAACATATGAAAAGCCCAAGAAGAGGAAAGACCAGACATGTATAATCTTTTTGAGTGAAACAATCATCAGAAATATAAGCAAAAACAGAAGAGAGCAAGAAAAGGGAGAGAGAGGAAAAAAAAAAAAAAAAAAAAAGACTTACAGAGGACCAGAAAAGACTTCAGCTACAAAAAAGGAAGAAAACATCCTGAAGCCGGGCTTGAACAAGATAGGTCTGAAAGGTGGTATGGATTGGGGATTTCCCCTTTCCTTCAGTATGCTCCTTATCTTGTCACATAGTATACTAAACATTAGTTACTACTAGGGGAAGGAAGTTCTGTTCTCTCCCTTAGTTACCCATCAGGTCAAGCCATGGTAGCAGCTTATCCAACCTGCAGAAATTTGGAAAAAGTCCAAAAGGTTAATGAAAAGCCAAGTGTATGATCACTGCAGTCACTGGCGCTTCCCCCCACATTTACAGAGCAACTGAGTAGGTGTTTGTGTTTGTATATATATGGCTATGTATTTATATACATGTCTCTATAAATACAGACACAATACACATACTTAACATTGATCAAGGGTCAATAGTGTGCAGGTGTGTACACCTTCATCTTCTGCACTACATTTACAAAACAAAAAAAAAGAAGAAAAAAGAAAAGAGAAAAATGAAGAAAAAAAACAGAACAAAAAATTAATGAAAGAATAAGTTACATTCTGTAAAGGTGCTTACAATGTTAGAACTATGCAACCTAGATGGTTTGAAACTGTTTACCTGTGAGAGGAAGAAAAAAAAGAGAGACTTTTTTTTTTTTTTAATGGAAGTAACTTGTTTTAAAAAAAAATCTTTGGTGAGAGATACTTGAAAGGAACATGTTTGTCCAGTTACTGGAATCAAACATTTCTATATTTTGTAAAAAAATTTTTAATCGTTTACTATTTGCACTACAATGGTGTCTGACCTGTCTAATCCTTATTTAACAAATATTTGCAAGGGAGGGTGGTTGGGTGTGGGAGGGGTTGAGAGCTGCACTTATTGTGAGCTATACAAGAACTGCTACAGCACACAGAATAGCTATTTTTATTATTATAATAATTATTATTATTTTGTACCTTAAAATGAATAGACACATACACCAAAGACATTCATGCAAGCCTCTATAAAGTCTGTTTGTGGTTGGTACCATTCACCTGTAATGAGTTAGGGTTTAAATTAAGAGTCAGTGGGTTGATTGCATTCAGGCTAGAATATCTGTTAGCCAGTTAAATTCAAATAGTGCCCTCAACAAAAAAATCACCATTTGAAGTAAGCCCAGAAAATCTCTGGGATTTGGATCCAAGGTGCTTGGATCTGAGGTTCATCTGAACATAATCATACTGTTTTGTATGTAGAACACTAAACTTGGCCCTGATGCACAGAAAATGTGCATTGTAGGGAAACAACTTTGTCCAAGGGATATACATATATATGTATATATTTCTGTATGTATATATGTATGTATACACAAGGTATAAGCATTTCTGGCTTCATTTTACTGTTCTTAAAACAATGAATGTTTGTGTGCAAAGCACAGTATGTTAAAAGATTTTTTTTGTTTCTTACTGCTAGGTGGGAGGCTACATGTTAAAATGGTATTTGTGCAAGAGAAACCTAAAGTGCTGGTATTTGTGCAAGAGAAACCTAAAGTGCTGATACACACTTAAAATGTTGATGTAAAATTGCAAGCAGCCTTGGGCCCTGTCCACCATTGCTCCTGCAAATATACAGAAAAAGGCAATTGTGGTTGGATTTCTGTTCGAAATACAGTCTTTGCTGAAATACTGGCTTTCTCAACCACCACCCTCTAGCATGACAACTCTTAATGGGTTTGCATGTTACCTGTAAGACCCAATTTTCAGTGTCAACACCTAACCTGAAGGGTCCAATTCGTAGGGCATAGGTAGATAGCAGTTTTTAAAAAAAATTTCGCTGTCATATTTAAAAGAATGTTAAACTTACATTTGTCTTTGGGTAGAGGGAGATGATAAGAGAGAATGGGAGAAACCTTTAGGCCCTGTTTACACTGAATTTGATAACCCTGAGCCTAAGTTTCAGAGTCTCATAGGTTTGCTGAACCAAGCCCCAGTTAGCTGCCTTCTGATGGGACAGGCTTCTAAATGCCTGTCCTGGAAAGAAGTACTAACATGGCTCCCTGTCTTGTCAAGAGCACAGTCTGTTAAAAAAAAAAAAAATTTAAAAAAAAAAAAAAAAGAAAAAGAAAAAAAAGAAAAAAGCACAATATAACCCAGTCACACTGGCTAGGGATAGTGTGTTAGCACCTTCATGGCAAGAACCATGTTTAAACAGTGTAATCAGGGCCTTCATTTTTTGTCAGCCAAAACTGTTTGTGTGTGCATGTGTGCGTGTGTGTTCTCTGCGTGTGCATATGCGCATGGGCGCATGTCTGTATTTGTCTGTATCTATAGAGATAAAAATGAAAAGGGAAAAAAAATAAAAAAAAAATAGCCCTTTCCTCTGTTGAATAGATACCAACGTACATGCATATAGCTAAGTTTTCTATCTAATTTATTCCACAATATTTAGATTGCATAGTACAGCTAATCGGTTATACATTTATGTACTTTTTATACAACACAGTTTTTTACAGACTTGTTTGCAATTTGTAAAAAAAAATGAAAAATATAATTGGTTAAACACTAGATTTGTTACTAAAGTGTTCTGTAAAATATCAAGGCTTTCTGATCTAAATGATTTGCAGAAGTTTGTTGGGTTTTTTGTGTTTTCTTCCTGGGGAAAGGGAGGGATACCAAATGCTAGCAGGAAAAATATCAGGAAAAAAAAATTATGCACAACTAATTTATCTTTATAACTTTAACAAAGTTCCTGGCCCTGCTTATTTGAAGCATGTGGCAGAATTTCTGTAGATTTTTCTAGAAGCAGAGCCAGCCTTTGGAACAGCAGGAGCAGGGACACAATCTGTGAGAGTTGTTGAGGATACCATTTAGTTCACTGGTCTTTGTACTTGGCCTTAAAATTGGGTGCTCCACAACTCTTATTTATATCATCAGATGTCCCAGAATGGTTAGTCATGCTAACAGGCTCTTTGATGTCAACTGGTCTCCTTAGAAGATCAGTAAAACTACTTACATGAGTAAAGTTTTGCCAGGGTGAATCACAGGTTCCTTGTGCTGTGGGCACTGTCAAGGGAGAGAAAGGATTCTGAGTGAATGGCACCACAGCCATTGATCCAGTTATTTGAATGAGGCTGTTTGTATTACAGTGTATCTCTGAACACAGTGCTAAGGAAAACAGGTCAGATGGCTCACACTGATAAAATTTATTCTCAACAGTGATTAGTTAGAGAGTATTGGAGACCTGAAATCCCTGAACCTTCCCCTAGATGACAATGGCAAAACTCCCACTGGCTACTAGAAAAGTAGACTTAGAAAAACTCATGTTTTTTTCTGGCTAAAGGAGAAAAATCCTTTAAAAATAATTCTGATCTTGAATTTGATATCAGATTTAATGTGATGAATAGGGACTGGCCTGAAAAACATGAAACTAGTCTGAGACAACTTCCAAGTGAGGAAAGAAAATAGTATTTTAGATATTGTGAGCATGTTTCATGATAGCTACACCAAAAACAGAAGAAAGTTTTCAAATCAAGAAGTAACTGTTCCAAGCCCTACTTTTTAGATTGCATTTGTGTGTCCTTACTGGTCACAGATTTGAAAGATTTCTCCCTGCAATCTCTCAGTCATGGGGTTTTGATTTGTGGTCAGAGTTATTTAAAGTAGGCGGAAATGAAAAACTGTATGATAAAGTAAAATAAGACATTTGGATGTTAATTAAGACTGAATGATTCCAGCAAAATAGCCCATCTCTGATAATTTGATTTAATTAAATCTGCATGGACTTAAAATAGCATTAGAAATTGCTACCATATTTTGGCAGTTGTCCTAGGGCACATAGCCTTAAAAATGACTTCTCCTTTCAGGTATGACTGTACCAAAAAAAAAAAGAAAGGCTCGTAACTACTAACACATTCCTTTCCATATAACCTACTTACTGTTTATATTGAAAATACGTTTTCAGTATATACTTAATCACAGAAATGTATTTGTTTAGTACCTCTATAATCTTACTGTTTGAGAGCTGACCACATTTGGTTGTCTTTTCACATCTCCATGTCAGATGCTCACTGGTTACAAAGCCTAAGAAACTGGCACAAGTGCATGCTAAGATGTTTCTTTGGGAGGGCTGAATGTATTTGTATCCTTTAGATTTAGCAAAAGGAAATGCTTATAAATGCTTGTAATTATTATGCACTCATATGGTCTAGTGCCCAAAACTGTACAATTGAATAAAATGGGAGTTTTGTCATTGACTTCAATAGAAACAGTCTCCTACCAAATCATGGCAAAGTAGGTTTCTAATATATATATATATATATATATATATATACACCTCCTTTTTTTTCTATTTAGTTGAGAATTAAGCTGTCAAGTTCATTTAACAGTGAAACCACAAGACCATGTAGAGGCTAGCAGCAATATCTCTTAGGTAAAGAACATCAGGCATCTGTAAAGTTTATGTGCAAAATTAAAAATTGATGGACTATAGTTGCTCATGTGGAATTGTGCCTTACTCTGTAAGCAATGCCGTTGATTTTCAGAGGGTCTCCTTTCCTAGAAAGTTACCAGTCAGCATCAATAAATTGAGAAAAATCTATTTCTGAAGTATAGGTAGATACAATGGAAATTATTAAGTACTTTAAGTTAAACCTCATGTCAATAGTGTACATCAGTATAAGAACCAGATGCTAATCCCTTTCCTCACACTCAAAAAAGCTTTACTCCCCCATATGCTCTCACTGCATTACATGTGGAGTAAAACATTTTCAGCATGAGTAAATAAAATCATAATTTGATCTTCTGTGAACAACTAAAAGCAAGGTTTTCATGGGCCGAAACAAGCAGCACTTCTGGGTTTTATAGCTATTTATTTTTTGAGATATAATGAATCTGTTAATTCTCAATGGATTTCTTTGTATTTAAATACTTTCAAAAACTTTCATTGACAATGGGTTGAAGATATATATATACACACACATATATAATCTATATGTATGTATATATATCTTCATAATAATATGTATATATAAAGTATAATACAATTTAATATGACATAACATATTATATAATATTGTGTTATATTAAATTGAATTATATTATACATATACATATTATATATATGTCTACAGTATATATATATACACACAACTATATATATGTATATACATATATATAAATTATGAAAGCCAAGATATTATGAAGCCTATTTTGTTTTTATAATTTTGTGTTTTGTTGTTGATATTATTATTATTGTTATTATTATTATTTTGCATACTACATGCAGTGCTTTAACCAATGTCTGTTTGGCTAATGTAATTAAAGTTGTTAATTTATATGAGTACATTTCAAACTATGTCAATGTTTTCTTAATATTTATTGTGTAGAAGGACTGGTATTTTTTTTATTTACATTATGTTTAAAGAGGTAACAGTTTGATATGTTCTCATTTGTTTATATTAGAAGTTATTTATTTTCACGGCATTCCGTCTGGTATTTTGATATTTGGAAGGCATGCTACCTATACTTTGTACAGTTAGTGGGCAGTATTCAGCAGCTCCCAGTAGATTTTTAGGCCCTATATTAAATAAAAGACTTATTTGGGCTTTTTATTTTAGATTTTTCCTATTGGTTTGCCAGGACCACTCAGTGCACTTATTGCCAGACACTCTGCCTGTGTGACCAATTTATTCCTACTGTATTTACCCAGGACAGAGGACCAAAACCACCTCTGGTGTAAGTCCAGTGACTTCAGTGAAGTTATACCAGAGATGTATTTGGCTCACAGAGAAAATGCTTGTGCAAATCAATGCAAAGAAAAGGCAGAAAGAAAGAATCTTTGCATTTGGAATGGGATTTCAACATGTTAAAAATGTTTGGATCAGCTGTTACTTTATTTTACTTTGTTCTTTTTGTTATTTTGCTCTTTCTTATACAACAGCAGCAACAACACAAGTGAAATAAATAAAGGGAGTTTCACCAAGCCTTGTGTAATCATTCCTTAATATGCATTCCTTGTGGGAAATTCATGGGAAATTGGGAAATAATGCCTATTCGGACTGAACAGTATTATATCTTTCTCTTCAATGTGAAGATGTTAAATGGACATTTGAATTCATGGCCCAACAAGTAATGAAATTTTAGGTTGTTCACTTCTACTTGTGAAACACATGGAGTACAAAAGCTAGAGCCAACTGCAATTTCCCTTTGCCTGCAGACTCTTAGGTCTTCAGATACTATCACCATAATTCCCTTGAAATAATCCAGAACTAGATGCTTACATAGATAAAAGAGGAATTTTCATTACTGAGAAAAAAAAAAAATTGGAAAGCTGTCAGTTCACATAGGTTAGTTTATAAATTGATAGATAGTCAGATGAAATGATCAGAGGCCAAATTACAAGCATCTGAGTACTGCTCTGAGTGAGAAACTATCTGAGTACCCTCCTATTTGAAAGCAGAGTGAATTTATGAAGGGTTTTCACCAATCATTGCATTCCGATGGTGATAAATGGGCTCTTGCTACCTTCCAGTGGGGTGACAATTCTGAAGTTGATCTGATCTTTAAGCAAATTTTTTGCATGATGCTCAACCATAGGCCATCACAACTATGAACAGGCCTTTAATAATTAGGCACTGAAAGCCATTCTACAAAGTCTGGAAAACTGAATTGGTTTCCTCTTACTGAAAATATATTTTTTAAAAAAGCAATGCAATCAGTGCTAGAGAAAGCATTTGTTTCACAGACTACTAAAACATTTGAATATATGCTTTCTTCCCTTCATTATGATCACTATTATACAACTGGACTCAGTGATCCTAAAGGTCTTTCCAGCCTAGATGATTCTATGATTATTATTGCCAGCAAAGACAAATTCCACTGGATTTGGAAGTTGCTCTAAGAGAATAAAACCATAAGAGTTACTTGATTCCAACTGCTGGTGTGTTAATCTGGTACAACTGCAGCTTACACTTCAGGTGTAAAAACAGAGAGCTATTGTTTCTCTTTCATGACACAGAGTGCAGTACTAGATAGTGCAATCCAGATGTTTTCCATTTTCTCCAGCCATTTTATTCCCTTTTTACTTTAAGAATGCTGTTGAGAGCTGTTGCTATTGTACAAGCTTGTTGAAATGCTCCATCTGAAAAGAACAGTGGAGAACTAAGAACCTTCTTTTCACAAGTAGAACAATATGCTAATACTGAAAAAAATGATCCTAAACAAATGAGACCAAGTTAATAACATACAAAGGCAGATAACACTAAATTATTCTGGTAAACAGATACATGGATAGTTTCTGCTCAGTGAGGATTTCTTATTTTACAGCATCTTCACACTGCTGCTTGGGCTACTGAGTCACTGGGTTAGTTTCAGTGAACATCTTTCCATGCTTGTCAGTGGGCAAACAGAGTCAAAGTTTTGAGAGTTCATGGCTAGATAGATATGGCTGCCCTCAGTGATTAATTTCTTAAGTTTTTCTGTCTCCTGGAAATACAAACACAGACTGATTGGAAGTACTGCGTAGGGGTCAGGGTGACTGTCCTCCCTTATACTGCTGATGGAAGTATAGCACAGTGATCAAATCTGTGGCTTGCAAATACCTGCTGCCCAACTTCTATGACCTCTGGATGCTTCATGGTTTCAAAAGAGCTGTCTCACACATTGTCACCATATGATCTCATCTCTTCTGTCTACTATTGTTTCTCATCACCTTTGCTAAAATTGCATTCGCTGAGAAAATAGTGCAGAAAGTCACTGTCTGCTAGAGAATCCCAAATACTCTCTGCAGGACAGACTTAAGTGAACAATGAGGTTTCCTTTTCCCCCCACAATAGACAGCAATTCTGAGCATCAAAAGTGGAAGAGTTGGGAGAAAGGTCCACATGACTAGACAGTATCTATGTTTCTTCATCTTATGAAGCTGTGAGAGTGAATGGGTTTATTTTGCCTTTCAACAGTGGACACAGGGACAAATTCAATCCTTTCTTGTGAGACCTACAGTTCAGTGTTCAACTCTTGGGACTGCAGCACAAGAAAGACAAGGGCCTGCTGGAATAAGTCCAGTGGACGGCCAGAAAGATGATCACAGAAATGGAGCACCTTTCCTACAAAGAGAAGCTGAGAGAGATGGAGATTTTTAACCTGCAGAAAAGAAAGCTCCTGCAAGACCTTAGAGCAGCCTTCCAGTACATAAAGGGGGCTACAAGTGACCTAGAAAGGACTTTTTACAAGAGCCTGTAGTGACAAGACAAGGGGGGGAATGGCTTCAAACTAAACAGGGTAGATTTAGATCAGATGACAGAAATAAATGCTTCACTGTGAGACACTGGCACAGGATTCCCAGAAAAGCTGTGGGTGCTCCATCCCTGGAAGTGGTCAAGGCAAGGTTGGATAAGGCTCTGAGCAACCTGGTCTACTGAAAGGTGTTCCTGCTCATGACAGGGAACTACATGGTCTTTAAGGTCTCTTCAAACCCAGACCATTCTACAATTCTGTGAATTATTTAATATACCTGACTCATA